AAAAAAAAAAAAGAATGTGAGAAAGTAAAAACTGGAATAGCATGATGAGACACTAAGCAGCTGACACAAATGAGTGTCTTTGCCTAGGATGTTTACATCTGAAAGTATTAGATACTATTACCATGTTTCTATTCTATTTCCTGATTCCTTTGTATTATGATGAAATGTTTTTTCTGTTAAATCAGAATAACTTTTCTATTTTCTCCTCTTTCTTTGAATGAAATCACTGATATATGCGTAGTAGAGAAGGCAGTGGACACATTTTTGATTTTCCAACACACAGTGATATTCACTTATGCATGCATACACAGAGCCCCCACCAAATGTGTCACCTCATACAGGAATGACCACGGGCAAACTGAGCCTGGATGGTGTGATTTAACAATAGATGTTGCTTGGCTTCTCAAAGCCTCTGAAGATCACTTTAAAAAATTTGCCTCCACCTCCCCAAACCCTACATGTCAAGAAAAAAACCTGAGATTGCTTTAAACTGGTCTGAGGGATACACAAGATCCAAATCTACTCTCGCTCTGCATTAGTGGCATTTGTAATATGATTTCTAAGTACTTCTTCAAATATGATATATTTTGTCACAATCACCCTGTGAGATCTTAGCCCAACTTTATAGATGAAGAAACAGAGGCTCTAAGACATTGATTTGCTAACGATTACACCAGTACTAAGCTAGAGGAAAGGCCTGGAATTAGGTCCTCTAACTCCCAATCCTGTAGTGATTCCACTGTCTCATGCTGCTGAGTTTACTGATACATTAATTGTGCGCCAAAGCATTTGGCCCTCAAGGCCATGTACAAGTGTCCCTCTGCAGATTAGTAGTTGCTCAACAACAGTGCAAACGAGAGGAAAATTATTCTTGAAGAAGGAAGACTGAGTAGTGGTAAGTCACAGCCGATGTTCAATCCCACCTTGGTGTCCACTTGGGCCCCTTCATTACACAGACCACATCTCTCCTCTCTTCACAAACCCACACTCATCAATTGCCCAGCGTTTAAACCAATGTCCTCCCCTAAAGAATTTCACTGAAAACTTGAGCCACTTTCACTATTCCTTTACTCCACATCCCTTTAGCTTAACTTTAATAGCTTGTAGATATCACAGAGTGTACTTATTCCCAAATCACTCAGGAATTTTTCTCCAGAAGCCATACCTGTGTGACTCCCGAGCTAGACCTTAAGCAAGCTCTTTGTGTTCTACACCTCAGATTCGTCCCTACCTCTTCAATAGCCTTCCCTCTATCCTCCAACTTCCTAGTGTATCACTATGCATTCAACAAATGCCTAATGAGTGAATGAGAACCTGCATTGGTGTGGTGTAGGCAGCTTGATCCGTAATTAGGAGGTTGGAGTCCCAGCTCTAGACCTAAGTAACTGTGCTATCATTAAGTCTGTGGGTCTCGGTTTTCTCATCATAAAATGGCTATGGGGGCAGGAAATAGGTGGAATATATGAGTTCTATGAACTCTGAGATGCTGTACATATTTAAATATTATTTTGATTGGGCTGATCATAGCCTTACTTTACTCCATTAGGGATGAGAGAGGAGAATAATGAGAATTCCAAAGACAAGACAAATACAGAAATCAAATAACTAACCACCCAGCAGACAGAGGAAAGCCAATGTGTCTGGGAAATAAATAAAGCAAAGAAGAATCGGGGAGAGTAGCGATGTCCTAGGCAAGACTAGAATGTGGATCCTCCCCTGAGAGGGGGGCAAAAGGGTTAGAGGGTGGGATGTAAATGGGGACAGCTTAAAACTAGAAAAATTACATTAGTGTTAGGCATATGTAGCATAATGTTTGTTTTTGTTTTTTTTTAATTTGCTTTTCTGTTTGCTATTCAAGTTTGAAATCAAATGTTAAGAATGTCAGCATTGAGACTGCTTAGATCAGGAGGAAGACAGTAAGATGTATACTAAAAACTTCCTTGTGGCAATAAAAACAGAAGTTCCTGGTATTAAAATAGGGATTACTACTACCAATATTTCACCATTAGAAACCTATTTTCCTGTACTTTTTCCTCCATTTTTCTTTTTTTTTTTTTTGGAGAGGGTGTGACAATTTCAATCAGGATATTTCTCCTAAGTTTAATTTGATTAAAGATTTTAATAATTCCAAGTAACATTGTACTAGTTTCATTGAAATTGGGTTTTAGATCACGTAATAGATAAAAATGGTATAATAAGGTGGTCTGTTCATGCCTTCGATAATAAGTTCTGTTTCCTAGGATGAGCTTATGGCAAGCAGTGAACCGAGTGTCCAATGTGGTACGGGCACTTGGATTCATCTGAGGAGCTAAAGGAAAAGAAAATGAAGTTTAGCTTAAAACTTTAAGGAAAAAAAAAAAGGCACCTCTTTAGAAAAAAAAAAATCTCTGATATTAAAAATAATACTTGAAGCAAATAACAGTTTTTGGATTTTCGGATATAAAAGTTTTCAGCTGGTATCCAAAATTGAAGTGACACATTAAAAGATTAAATCAATAAAAAGACATGATTGACAAAAGGCCAGAAAAATTCCGTTTAAAAAAGAGCAAAAAGGGCCGGCCGAGTGGCTCAGCTGGTTAAGAGCTCGCTCAAGAGTTTGAGCTCTGAGCAACAGCGGTTCGAGTCCAGCCCGAGCTGAGCAGCCGCTGAGCTGCCAACAGGTAGCAGGATGGCTCAGCTAAAACAAAACAAAACAAAACAAAACAAAAAAGAGCAAAAATTTAAAAGGGATTAATATGTAAGAGGCATTTTTAGGAGTCTCCTGATGAAATTCTTGATACTAAAACTACAGAGAAGAAACATTAACTCATGCGATATAACGGGATCCAGTTTGCCCTTTATCTTCTACCTCGAAAAAGGGCCTATGTTTAACCAAAGCCTATAAAGACATTTCTGCAAGGAGAAAAAATTGTGTGAATGTGTGTGAATTAAAGACAAACATACCTGCTTCATCATAGGATACAGTCAATTTTTCTAGCATTTCTCGGTCAATTGACAGAATCTGCTGTTCAAGGATGGTCTGGTAAGACAACACACTATTTTCTTTGTCTTTTTCGTAGTCCTGAAGATGCTGTTTAAGGGCCTCTGGGAGTCGAGATTTTACATATTCAGCTGCAGTCTGCAAATAAAACAGGTAAAGAACCTCATTAGTATTTCTCACCTTAGGCTTTTCACTTCACCGCAGGTGCTGCAGTGAGAACTCAAAGCACTGTGGAACCAACCCTATAGACAAACATATCCTTGTCATTGTCATTTTTAGTCTCCACTGGATCAAGTAATGTGGATCTTCAAATATGCAGAATCACAGACCTCTGAGAGTTTTCCACCTGGTTTAAAGGTATAAAAGCTGATGGAGTTGGTTTGTCATTCATGGAGCTAGTACTCAGAGTTCCAAGTACTATTCCACTAAACTCTGAAGGCCCCGTGATAGTACGTAATTTTACTGGATATAATTATGACTTGCCCTTGTCTGAAATGCAGAAGCTAGTCACTCATCTCAGTGAGCCTACCTATGCTATGGCATCCATATCTCTACTTTGTTTTCTTGTTCTCTGCTCATTAATGCTTATGCAGAACTCCTGCGAAGTGAATAGAAAGGAGAGGCCTCTGCTAAGGCTGATAATGGAATAATAGGATAAACGGAAAATGAAAAAAAATCTAAGATAATGATATCCCTTAACCAGAAAAAAGAATTGTTTGCCACTTTAAATGTCTTTCTTGGCCATATATGTATGTATGTATGTATGTATGTATGTATGTATGTATGTATGTATGTATATATAAACTCTTTAACTTTTAATTTTTCTATACTCTTTTTATCCCTTCCAGATGAGAATCACAGTTAAAGCTAAACAGAATTTTAAGGGCTAAATTAAGTGATACAGTTTCATGTATGAATCAGGGAAATTGAACTTCTTAAATCATAACAAGAGTTTGGCATCTCCTTGCAGGGCAGTCCTGCATCATATGCATAGGGTCTGAAGTTGATAAAATAAATGAAGGCATACATATGTATTGTTTAAAATTATACTCACAACCACTAGAAACTGAAACTGAAATAAATGAAACTGTTAAAAAGAATTATCTCAGACAAGAAAAGAAATAAAAGTTATTCATATTGGAAAGGAAGAAGTAAAACTGTCCCTAAGCTATACATAGAGAATCCCAAAGATTCTACCAAACAACCAGTAGAACTGATAAATAAATTCAGTAAAGTAGCAGCATACAAAATTAATATTCACTAATTGGTTGCATTTTTATACACCAATTAACAAACCATCAGAAAGAGAAATTAAGAAAACAATCCCATTTACAATTGCACCCAAAAAAAGCCTAGAAATAAATTTAACCAAGGAGATAAAAGACCTGTACTTGGAAAATTATAAGACACTGAAGAAAAAAACTGAAGAAGATGCAAATACGTGGAAGTATATACCATGATCATGAATAAAAAGAATTAACATCATTAAAACATCCATATAACCCAAATGCAATCCCTATCAAAATACCAATGGCATTTTTCACAGAACTAGAACAATTAATCCCAAAATTTATATGGAACCATAAAAGACCTCGAATAGCCACAGCAATCTTGAGAAAGAAGTTGGAAGTATCGCCATACTTGATATCAAACTACACAAGGCTATAGTTATCAAAACAGAATGGTACTGGCATAAAAACAGACATATAGATCAATGGAACAGAAAAGAGAGCCTAGGAATAAATCCATGCCTACATGGTCATTTAATCTATGACAAAGGAGGCAAGAATATACAATAGGTAAAGACAGTCTATTCAATAAATGGTGTTGGTAAAATAGAACAGACACATGCAAAAAACAAAAGAAAAAAAGAAAGAAAAGAAAAAGAAACTGGACAACCTTCTTACTCCATCTACAAGAATACACTCAAAATGAATTAAAGATTTAAATGTAAGACCAGAAACCGTAAAGCTCCTAGAAGAACATATAAGCAGTAAACTCTCTGACATTTATTGCTCTTAGTAGTATTTTTTCTGATATGCCTCTTTGGGCAAGGAAAACAAACAAACAAAATAAACAAATAGGACTATATTAAACTAAAAAGGTTTTGTATAGCAAAGGAAACCATCAACAAAATGAAAAGACAAGTTAATCAATGGGAGAAGATATTCACCAATGTTCTATCTGATAAGGGGTTAATATCCAAAATTTATAAAGAACTCTATACAACTCAATGCCAGTAAAAACGAACAATCCAATTAAAAAATGGGCAGATGACCTGAATAGACATTTCTCCAAAGAGGACATACACATGGCCAAATAGACATATAAAAAGATGCTCAACATCACTAATTGTCAGAGAAATGCAAATTAAATCCACAATGAGATATCACCTCATATCTGTCAGAATGGCTATCATAAATAAATAAAAAAACAAGTGTTGGCGAGAGTCTGGCAAAAAGGAGAACCTTCATGTACTATTGGTGGGATTGCAAACTGGTGCAACCACTATGGACAACAATTTGGAGGTTCCTCAAAAATTAAAAATAGAACTACCTTATGACCCAGCAATTGCTCTTCTGGATATTTATCCAAAGATATCCGAAACACTAATTTGAAAAAATATATGCATCCTTGTGTTCCCTAGGGCACTATTTACAATAGCCAAGATATGGAAGCAACCTAAGTGCCCACCAATAGATGACTGGATAAAGAAGATGTGGTACATATGTACAGTGGAATATTACTCAGCCATTAAAAAATTAAACCTTACCATTTGTGACAACATGGATAGACCTAGAGGGTATTATGCTAAGTGAAATAAGTCAGACAGAGGAAGTCAAATACCATATGATCTCACTTATATGTGGAATTTAAGAACAAAATAAACAACAACAACGAAACAGAAACAGACTCATAGATACAGAGAACAAACTGATGGTTGCCAGATAGGAGGGGGGTTGGGGCATTGGGTGAAAAAGAGGAAGGGATTAAGAAGTACAAATTGGTAGTTACAAAACAGTCATTGTAAGATACAGCATAGGGAATATAGTCAATAATCTTGTAATAACTATGAATAGCGCCAGGTGGGTACTAAAATAATTGGGGGGAGTCACTTCATAAATTATATAAATGTCTAACTATGTATACTATGCTGTACACCTGAAACTAATATAAAATAATACTGAATGTCAACTGTAATTGAAAAAAATAAAGAATGGTGTATAATCCATAATAAAGTGAAATATAATCCATAAAAAGTTCAGTAAAATATATGTGCTTATATTAAATTTGCAAAATCCAGCAGACTATATGGTGGCAAAGATGGTGAAACAACTGGAAGTCTCATACATCCCTGGTGGAAATATAAAAATGGACAATCACTTAGGAAAACTCTTTGGCAATTTGTTTGAAAGTTAAATATACACCCACCTACCCTATTAATCAAAAGAAAGAGATTATTATAAACAACCTAATACCCATTTATCTATCCATAGGATACAGGTTGAATGAATCAAGTTATGTGGAAAAAATGGAGAACTGCATAGCCATTAACAAAATGTATGTATATGTATATATGTGATTTGAACAAGGATGAGAACATCCTTGTAGTGGCTTTCATAATAGCCAAAAACTTGGAAACAATACAAATATCCATCAACAGAAGAACAGACAGAAAAACTGGCATATTCGTAAAATGCAATACTACACAGCAATAAAAAGGATAAATTATTAATACATGCAGCAACATGGATAACTCTCACAAATAACATGTTGCACAAAAGAAGCCAGATACAAAATATAACACATTGCATTTGTATGAAGTTTAAGAACAGTGGGAACTAAGCAATGGTGATAAAATAGCTTATAGTTAATTCTGGGGGAGGGAGGTGTGGAATTTGAGTAGAAATGGGCATAAGAGATCTTTCTACATTGATGAAAATGTTTTATTTCTTGATTGAGATATGGATTACAGGGGTGTATACACTTATCAAAAATGAGCAAACTGAACACTTTAGATCTGTGCATTTTACTGTATATAAAATTATGCCTTAATAAATAAATTTAAATATGCAAAACATATACGAATAAAACAATATAAAGCTAAAAAAAGTTGTCTCTGGGGTATGGGCCTAGGATAAGGCAAAGGCATATCTACATAGTTCAATTTTTTTAATTCCTGTAATTTTTTAAAAGTTATCTTTAAAATATGTTTTTTGTAACCTTCATAGTTTTCCTTTTAAATCTTTGCACAATTTAGGATGAAAAGAAACTTTCCAGAACAATGACAACTGACTTCCCAGGAGGAGTTCACTGGAAAGTGGTGCGGAAAGTTGTATTTCAGTGTTTAGAACAGCCAAACATAGCACACAACACTTTTTATTTCCAGGTTTATATTTATATCCCCTAAGTCAGCTGCTGATGAAGTGACAACTTTAAAATACCACCAAACATTGTTGAGCTTATCTGTCAACCACCTAGTACAGAACAAATAAAATTATGTCATAAAATGTAAATGGACTCAGCACACAGCACAACATATTTAATTCTAGAGTTTAATAACAATTTTCTCCCGACACTGAAAAATGAAGAGACACAGTGCAGAATAACTATTTTTAAACTCATATTACCTTGCTATTCTGTAACATCTGTTTTTAATTTTTTTCCTTGGAAATATCTATGAGATACAGGAAATAATTCTATGATGCACATTTTACAAATACTGGCACACTCTATATTACTGAAAGCATACCACACATTTCCTTCCAATTGTGTCCACTGATCTACTTTTCTAAAATCATGACATAGGTCTTTAAAACAGGACCTATATTTTTTACTCTATTGGAGTTATATTTTGGCATTTTATTTCTAAAACTTCATGTATAGAGTTCTTTCCATTGGGAAAGATTCTTAAGAGAAACAGAAAGAAACAATTCTAGCAAAATACTACATTGTCAAGATATTTTAAAAAATCACCTGTATACTGAGGAGGTACTCTAAATGTATTCAAATGGCAGTTAAAACCTTATGTTCAAACAAGAATCATGCTTAAAACCAGGCTGTCATACAAATACCATACGATCTCACTTATGTGTGGAATCTTTAAAAAACAAAACAAAACAAAAAAAACAAAAAAA